TTAGCTTCTTAAAAAAATCCATGTATGCTGGCTTTCTGGCTGCTTTTCCTTTGCTATATGGTCCAGAACGAAACGAAACAAAACAAAAAACAAAACAAAACATTCAATCGGTAAAGAAATTAAATATTAAGACGTATTTATCTATATAGTTGTAAAATAAAATAATAAAATAAAATAATTGGTAATGTCATATGTAAACACAAATCCAAAATCAATTAATCCAAAAGTTAAGTAAAGATCATGAGAAATTCAATGAAGTTTGTCCAGACATTGACAGGTAGTGTATGTGACCGTGTGCATACCTGAGTCGATGCTGTAACTGATTTGTGCATTTTGGCCCTTGTCCTTATCGAGTGCAGTCACCGTGAGAACAGCCGATCCCAGTGCCGCTGATTCATACACCTGTCCATTATACATCACCATGGTAAAAAGAGGGGCGTGGTCATTCACATCTTCTACACCGATCAGGACACGAGCAAGACTACGTCTGTACGGGAACTCTTGATCCTTCACCTAATATCGAAGGAAAGTAAAGAAGAAAGCAAGAAATATAGAGAGAAATAAAGAGAGCAGTAGGGAGAAACAAAAATTAATTCCCTGTCTGAGAGAGACAGCAATATCCAACACAAGGAAACAGCAAGACCGAAGCACACGCAAACTCATACACACAAAACAAACTCGCTCACTGACAGACGGAGTGGATAACATCTCTCTCCGGATTATAATAACAAATTTCATCTGTTTGCAGGCAGCAGGAATATCCATGTGCTTATTAGATATGACACTCACTGTCTCTCACCCTCGTCAGGGGAGAGCGGAAACAAGGAGTGATACAGATCAGATCAATAATTAGATCACAGTGGAGAAACGACACAGGTACAGAAGACATTAAACTAGTGACGACAGCCAAAGCACAAGGAGCAATCTCCTGTTCCTGTCATACCTGCACTCAAGCGTGGAGAGCGTGAAAGAGAGACAGGAGGGAGCCAAATCTGTGGGAATGTATACTATCAACACTAATCAAAAGATACCTCTGCAGTTTTATCTATCCAATGCGAGTCACAATGTTCTCTCAAAAATAAAATAAAATAATTTTTAGTTGGTAAAAAAGTATATATGTCGACTGATCTATGAGCCTTACTGGTCCAAGTAAAAAAAAAAAAATTATATATATATATATATATATATATATATATATATATATATATATATAAATATATA